AATTATTATCAATTTGTCAGATGTGATAATGGTACTGCTGTCATCTTTTAGGGCAAGAAGAAAAAGAGTTCTTATCTCTTACAGACATACTGAAGTGTTTACAGGTAAAACGATTGTGTGTCTGGGATTTGCTCTTAAATAATCCACTGGAAAAGGGGATTAAGAGGGGAAAATGCTGAGGAATCAAAACTGGCTGTCAGTTGATAACTGTTGAAGCCAGGTGATGAATACATGGGAATTCATTGTACCATTTCCTCAGTTTTAAAATGTTCATAATAAAAAAGTTAATGAAAATCTTCACAGCAATCTTAGGAGGCAGATATTATCACCCTCATTTAGGAGATGAGGAAACGGAGATTAAGAGAGGGCAAGAGAACTGCCTGAGGTCACACAGCATCTAAAGGGCAGAACGAGGATTCAAACTCAAGTTTTGGGCCCTCAAAGGTAAACTGGGACAGCATCTATTTCCACCCACCCTCCAGAGTCCTGTAAGCACAGACCTCTCCCAGGCAGTGTGGAGAGGGAGTTACAAAGAAAAGCTAAGCTGCAGACTTAGAGCCCAAGGGCCCTAGCGTGTGGGAACTTTGTTGTCATTGAATCCATCCGATACTCAAGACCCTCTGCTGGCTCCCTGCCACATGTGACCACTTTAAGAGTGGCCCCCCACATCCCAGAGAGCGTTGACTCTGGGCACATTCTTCTTCATGTTAGGTCTGGTTCAGCTTTGGGCCCACAGAACCAGTCTGCCCCCTCTTGGACTCAATACTCTTGGCAATGGGGAGCCTCTGGGGGTTTATACAGGGAGAAGCTCATGTGGAAAGGTGTTTGAGAAGTCACTCCAGCAGTTGTGTGCAAGGTATGAAGGTCTGGATCTGGGGGAAATGGCACAAACCAGTAGCCCAAAGGCCAGTTAGGAAGCAATACCCTAAATAGTCCAGGCCTACCTAGGGTCTGCCTGTACCTGGGGAGAGAGAAGAGGTTTCTACCTGGGGGACAATATCAGGAGACCCGGCAAGACTCCTTGGCTAATTGGGTAAGGGAGAAGGGAGAAGGAAAAGAAGACAGAAATCTAAGGTTTGGAGTCCAGAGGTAGGAAGAAATGTGATGTTTTTAATAGAAATGGCGGGAGCTCCTGACCCGAGGGTCCAGGACCACCTACTTCTGCAGAGGGTGAGGATGAAGTTTTCTAGAGAACAGTTTCCTGAGTGCCCAGTCTCAACTACCCCCAAGTCTGGACTGGTTCAGGTCCCTACTAGCCCATACAGTGCCTTTGTGCTAATTAGAAAAGGACACCACTTCCTCAAAACACCTTACTGACATCTGTTGGCAAATTGGCATAATAGATATTGTTGGAACCAGACGCTTGACTGCCACCTGCCGGACAATGAGAACTGTTACTCTACCATCTGTGACAGCTGCTGTGGATGAGGTGTGGCTCATTTTAGCTGAGGTGTGCTTGTGCAGTGCACAACCTGCACAGTGGTACATGGAGACCCAGGCTGTCCCTGTGCAAGATGGCAAAACAATAGAACCAAGTCAGACCTCAGGGAGAGTCAGCTACTGAGAACTAGGCCTCCCGGGCACCCAGGAAGGAGGAGGCCAGAGGGGGTCATAGGCCAAGGGGAAACATCATGATGGTTGAAGGCCAGACCTGCCTCCAATCCTCAGACTCAGAAAATGGTTCCCACGCAATCTCGGACAGACAGTCTGCACCTGCCAGGCCTGTGCCATCCAGGAGAGGGTGCTGTGCGGCCACTGGAGCACATAACATGCCCTGCGGGGAACATGCTCACTGGCACTGGCAGACGCCAGGAACCTGGCACACGCTGGGCCATGAGCCCTGAGTGTCTGACATTCTCAGCTGCACCTCTGTTTATCTTTTCTTATGACTCTGTTTTAGTCTCTATATATCTTGGCTTTTCTATCTGTCAATCTCTGCTTCTCCTTTTCTATACCTGGGTCTCTGCCAGTCCTAAGACAGGGCTGCCTGTCTCCATTCGTCTGTCTGTAACTTCATAAACCTGCCTTTCTCAGTCTCACTCACCGAGGCCCCCAGAAATACAAGCCTGCACATGCTTCTTCCAGCCCCAGCCCTCAGGACACACCGGGACTCAGGAGGGATCAGAAAGGAGTGGTCAAGAAGGTTCCCCCTTTTCCTCCACTATGCCTGCCATTCTGCCATAAGCTTTATTCCTCTGGGGTGAAGCCTTAATAGGACACAGTGCAATATGGGGACTGGACACAGGGGCTCTGGACTCTGTTATACCCGAATCTTCAACCTGGTTTGACCCCAAGCCAGTTACTTAACTTTCCTGGGCTTTAGGTTCCTTATATTTTTTTAAAATTTCATTTTTTTTTAGAAAAGTTTCAAGTTCACAGCAAAATTGAGAGGAAAGTACAGAGAGTTCCCATATGCCCCCTGCCCCCACACCTGCACAACCTCCCCCATTATCGACATCCCGCAGCAGAATGGCACATTCATTACAACTGAAGAAACTGCATGGATGGACAAGTCATAGTTTACATTAGGGTTCATGCTTGGTGGTGCACATTGTGTGGGTTTGGAAAAATGTGTAATGACATGTATCTATCATTACATCATACAAAATCGTTTCACTGTCTTAAAAATCCTCTGTGTTCTGCCTATTCATCCCTCCCTTTCTCCTAACCTCTTGCAAGCATTGATCCTTTAACTGTCTCCATAGTTTTGCCTTTTCCCGAATGTCATATAGTTGGAATCATACAGTATGTAGCCTTTCCAGATTGGTTTCTTTCCCTTAGGAATATGCATATATGGTTCCCTTTCATTTAGTAATATGCATTTATGGTTGCTCCGCATCTTTTCACAGATTGATAGTTCATTTCTTTTTAGCACTAATATTCCATTGGATGTATCGGAGTTTATTTCCTTATTTTAAAAAATGGGATCAACTACAGATAGTTGAACACAGGCAAACTGCACACAGTAATTCAGTGCAATCTCATTTGCAGAGGTTAACAACTGAAAACAATCTAAATGTCCCTCAGTAGAGGACTGGCTGAATGAGTCACGGTGCAGGCACACACTGGGCCACTACACGGCTCTGCAAACGGAGGACCAAGGTCCTTGTGAACTGACACAGCAATCCCCAGAATTAGTATTTAGCTAACAAAGCACAGCGCGGAACAGTATATGTAAAAACCTGTGTCACTGTTGATGTGAAACAAAAGTAAGGAAGCAGTAATAAACATAGTATTAGTTTGTGTGTGTGAAGACTACCTCTGGAAGGCCTCCCGATAAGCCAAGGCTGCCTCCAGGAAGGGGACCGCGGGGAGGCCACTTGGCATTCTATATATTTTTAGGTTGTTTGATTTTTGGAATATATATTATCTATATTTTTAAAGTAATAAAATTAATATTTTTAAAAGATTAAAAACCCCCAAAGTGCAAGGCATAAGGGCCCCTACATCACGGGGCTGTTAAGAGGATCTGATGGGATCTGATGGGATGAGGCAGGGTCTAGTCAGTGCGCACTATTATGGACTGCTGTCCCTGCTCCTTTGTAGCCATCTCTGGATGGGGACACATACAGCCAGCAGCTGAGCTGACAATGTAGACCCTTCCTACTCAAAGTATGGTCTGTGGGCCTCCAGTGTCAGTGTCGCCCAGGAGCTGGCTAGAAACACAGAACCTCAGGTCCCCCGCCCCCCAGACCTACTGAATCAGAACCCGCACTTTAACAAGACCCTCAGGGGGTTTCTGCACTTATTAAAGTTTCCTAAGCACTGGTGCAGACAGTGGGGAAAACAAAGTGAGGCCAGGCTGGAGCGAGCGCCACCCCAAAGGGTGGGCCAGGTCTGTGGGAGCAGGGAAGGGCCCCAAACAGAAGGTCTGGGGGCCCAGGTGGGAGAGCTCTAACCGCAAACTCTTCCACCTCCATGATGGCCCAGGGCCGGCCAGGCTTGGGTGCCCGGCTTGAGAACCAAGGTGGGGCCCCCCTTCTCCTCCCCATGCTTGGGCCCACCCTCAGGGTGTTGCCCGACAGAGACTGGGGTGCCTCTCACCTTCATCCCAGCCACGTCGATGCGGGTCCTCACCTGGAAGTGGGCGCCCACCTGGATGACCCTGGGCACACAGTAGAGCAGCATGTTGTTGAACTGCAGGAGACACATTGTGAGTGTGTGAGCGTGTAGTGGCGGGTCAGGAAGGATGGGGTGGCGGGCTTCCCTCAGGGTGGGCCAAGCCCCACTGGTCTCCTTCCTCTCTCGCCACACTCTGGGCCAGCTCCCAGGGTGTCTGTCACGGGTTATAAGGGATTGTCTAGCCCACTATCTAATTAGGATGGTCACTGCAGGACTGCCCTACCTGTGGGCCTCCAGGGACCACAGCAGAGCTCAGAAACCTATGAGGCCTTTCTCACAGGGGCTCAGGGCAGCAGGGGCTTACTAATGGGGTCACGCCCTCCCCCAGACCTCCAGGCAGGACCAGTTTCCAGATCTCCAGGAGACCCCTGCCTTTTTTAGTGCAAACCCAGGCAGTTCTTCTAAGCAGCTAACCTAACTTCCTCCTGCTGTGCAGTCCTAGAGGACAAATAACACCACAGTCTGGAACCAAGCAGCCTGAGGTTCTAATGCTGACTGTGGCTTCCTAGGGCATGTTGGAAATCCCTGAGTCCTGGAGGCAGCACTTGTCCAAAGCCAACCAGGTGTCTGAGCAGAGAAGCACAGAGAAGCGGGCTCTTCTTGGTCCTTCTTGCAGTACCAGGCAGACACCTGGCAGGCAGGACCTGGGTAGTGCGGCCCATGACTTCCCTCCCCAGTGCGGGGGTGGGGGGCCTCCAGCATCCTCCTACCAAGAAAAGGTAGCGTTCTATGGGGTCGCTGCGGCGGAAAGAGATCTTGAGGACCGGGCCCTCGCGGAGGAGGGTGTTGGAGGGGTCTACGATGTAGTCTTCCAGGCCCAGGCGCTGGTACACCTCCCACAGCTCCTGCAGCCGCTCCTGGAGACAGGGGTGCACCCTCAGCCAAGGCCGGGCAGGGCCCACCTCCTGGAAGGTTTGCCTTGCGTGGACAGGGACGGGCTGTGAGAGGGAGGGCAGCAGGAGGGCCTGTGCCACGGGGCAGGATCAGGGGATGAGCAGATACAGAGACCTGGGTGGGTTGAGGGAGGTGGAGAGCCGCAGGCAGGAGGTGATAGGGCCCCGGGGATGCCCCCTGCTCCCAGCCCGAGAGCTGGGCTGCTCACCATCTCAGTGATGGCTGCGTTGGAGTGCTGCGCGGCTGAGAAGATCATGTCCAGGGCTTCTGAAGGGGAGCGGGGTGAGCCAGAGTTATGTTCTGAAAGTCTGGGGCTGCTGGCTGAGGTAGGAGGCCCTTGAGGCTTAGCAGAGTAGCCTCAGGGCCTGCTGTGAGCGCCTCCTGGAGCAGCCCTGCCAGTGCAGCCCAGCACATGGGGTGTCTGGACGATGGGGCCCATTTCCCACCCTAAGTGGAGAGGCCGGAAGCCACTGAAAGACAGGGCTTAGACGTTTGGCTTCTGTGTCTCTCACTGTTCCCCAAACTAAGCCAGACCTAGAGGGTGCAGTGGAAGGAGCATGGGCTTTGGCCCCCTACAAGCATGGCCTCAAATCCTAGCTCTGCTCCTTTCTGGCTGTGTGACCTTGAGCAAGTCATTTAAATTCTCTGGGTCTTAGTGTCCTTCTCTGTAAAAAGTGCTATAATGCCTACAAAATACCAAAAATTGATGTTGATGGCTGATGGTCATCACAGCCATGTTAGCAGGTGGTCATTAAATATATAGGCGTGATCGGGCCTCTCCAGCCCCCTGTTTCCCCCGGGGGTGTCCTCACTCTGGGCATCAGCCCGGTCTGGGGCCTGGGCTGGCAGCTTCCGGACGTAATCCTTGAGCAGCAGCTCATAGCGTGGGATTCTCTGCACAGGTTCCAGCATGTGGTGCTGCAGGGTCAGGCTGCCCGAGGCCTCGCTGCTCTTGGGGAGGGATAAGAGGGGGAACATAGTGTGGGGTGAGAGTGGGGAGGGGTGGGTCAGGCTTCCCCTGAGGGCCATGGGAGTGGGCAGGGCAGGTTGGCACCAGGACCCATGGAAGCACTGAGCCTGAGAGATACCCAAAATCCTTGGGGAAACTGAGTCACTGCACAGGGGGATGGCAGTGCAGGCTTTGCCCCACCCCTACCCCAGCCTCACCTGAATGCGGGTGAGCACTTCCTGGAATTGGGGAGACTTTTCAGTCCAGGTGGCCAGCAGCTCAACAGCTCGCTCAAAGTTCTTGACATACTCACTATACATCTTCAGGAAGGGGGCCAGTTTCTGGATCACATCACCAATGCGGGGGGTGGCTGACCTGCAGGAGGGGCACTCGGGTGTTACCCTCAGCTTGAGGACTTCTCTTGATTCTAGGCAGGGAGTTAGACTAGGCTCTCTGAACCCCCAAAACAGGTTTTCTGCCTCACTTCTGGATGCAGGCAAGGGGGGCATGCCATCCTCCCACACATCCTCCCACACAAGTATGTGATTCACCCCTCTTAGACTGTGAGCCCCCTGAGGGCAGACGCCGTTCTCCCACAGATTGGGCTTCCCTAGTGGCCCAGCACATGCTGGACCCAGGACAGGTGTTCAACAATGACTTGATACTTGTAACAAGAACAAGGGCCACGTGCCAAGCAGTGCCCAAGCCACACTGCATGCCTCGTCTCATTTCATTCTCACAGCCCTGCAGGGGGAACAGTTCTTGGCCCATCTTGGACAGGAGGAAATCAAGGCTCAGAGGGGTAAAAACATATCCAGGATCACCCTGTGGTAGAGCCTGAAGATCATTCAACCCAGGGACTGTGACAGCAGAGCAGGAAGGAGCGGCCATCTGGAGCTGGCCTGAGTTTGATTCTCAGCTGCACCCCTTACTCTAGCTGTGTGTTCACAGGCACCTAGCCTCTCTGTACCTCATTTTCCTATCTGAAAAAATGAAAATGATGGTAGGTGACCTCGTAGGGTTGTCTAAAAAACCATTTATGATGAAAGCTTTTAAGCAAACATAAAGGAAACAGAATATAATAATGAACCCCTATATATCCATCACTGGATTTAACAATTACTAGCATTCTTCTTTGCCCAAGAGTTTTAAAGGCCGCCCCAGAGATCATGGCATTTCTTTGGCAAAATATATAAAGCAAGTAATTTCACCACTAAGTATTACTTTAGTGGTCGTCTCTGAAAACAAAGAGGGTTCCTTAGATAACCACGGTGCCATCATCACACAGCAGGCTGATTTGAAGATTGAGTTAATGGGTATAAAGCCCAGGGCCAGGCGTGTAGGAAGCCCTGTGGGCACTGGCTATTTTCACTGGTTTCTAAATCACTCAGCCTAGTGAGGACCTCATCCGTCCCCCTCCTCTGGACACACACACACACACACACACACACACACACACACACGCGCACACACACACACACTGCCTCCTGGGGCTCATTTGTCCAAACCCCTTGCTGTGCAGACAATGAGCCCTGAGCAGGAGACTGTCATGACCACACAGCAAGGGCAGGGGCTTAATAGGCCGAAACCAGTGCCCTGGGGGCTATGCCCCAACTTGGCCAGGGCTGCAGTCAGGGGACCCAGGGGCCCCTAGTGGACCTCACCAGTCATCCAGCCGCCGCTGCAGCTCTGGGAGGAAGAACTGTGCATGGAACTGGTAGATGGAAGAGATGTTGGAGAAGATGAGCCTGACCACATCCTCGGGGAAAGCCTTGCTGCTTCGCGCCTCCTTCAACAACTCCTGGAAGAACACCTGCCGCCACCGCCGGGTCACTGGGCCTGCGGCAGAGATGGGCTACCCACACCAGCCCAGAGGGAGACAAGCACAGCCCTGGGGGCTTCGGAGGCCCTCCTCAGCTTACTGAATGCTTTTATCCACCTAACCTCCCATCATCCTTGTAACAACTCCAGAAGAGATAGGCAAGGAAGACTGTATTCTGGCCCTTTTACAGATGGGCAAACCAAAGCCTAGAGACTCAGAGACTTGGCCAAAGTTGGGCAGCCGATGAGTGTCAGAAATGGGTCAATTCATGGGCTTTCAAGGTCTAGACTTCATTGGGCTAAAAAGCCCTCTGCTGATGTTCAATGATTGAACCCTTTAGCTTTGGGGCTTCTTAAGAAAGTGTGAAGGGGTAATAATGGTAAGGATATTGGCATTGGGATGACAGATGGGGATGCTATGTGGTGCCTGGAAGGACTGGCTGGTGTGTGCTCTGCTACATGTAAGGCACCAAGGGCAGAAGGGGGCGCAGTGCTCATGGGCTAAGTCCTGATTTCTGTCCCAACTCCAGCCAATGGGGCTAAAGGACTCAGGATTCCTAGAATCAAATTGAGGGGTTCTAACTCTCAGCTCTGGTGAGGTGGGTCAGGAGGGAGAGCAGGGGTAGGGTGAGGAGATCTAGGTGCTGGGGCTCAGGTGGGGCTGTCCTGGCCACTGACCTGGTCTAGCAGGTGGAGGCGTGCCACGTAGGCCTGCTCTGTCTCCAGCAGCTCCTGGACGATCCTCTTCTCCTCAGGCTCCTGCACGGGGTTTGGGGGGTGGAGGGAAAGAGAAAGAGAGGGACAGCTTTGGTCTCCTCTGAGGTGGGCCTTGGGACTAGTCTCTAAAGATGCCCCAGTGAAACACACCTCCCAGTACCCATGCACCCCCACAGTGCACCTGGGCTGGCACTGGGGCCGTTCTAACTGAGAGAATGGGGCAGAAGTGCAGCTGTGTGGTTTTCAGCCTAAGTCCCAAGAGGCCTAGACACTTCTGCCTGTACTCTCTTGAGAGCCTTGAACCACCGTATCTGGAGGTCTGGTTGCCCTGCTGGAGGGACCTTGTGGAGAGGCCACATGGAAAGGAGCAGCCCTGAGACTACATGGGGAGAGAGAGCCAAGGGCCCGCCGTGCCAGCATCCCAGCTGATCCCGCTCTCCTGGCTGTCCCTGGCCAGGCACCAGGCTTGAGAGTTGAGCTTCTTGAACATTCCAGCCCCAGCCACCGTCTGACTGCAGTCACACGAGAGACCCTGCTATGGACTAAATTGTGTCCCCCACCAAATTCATATGTTGAAACTCTAACCTCAAATGTGACTATATTTAGAGAGAGGGCCTTTAAGGAGGTAGTTCAAGTTAATTGAAGTCATAGGGTGGGGTCCTAATCCACTAGGACTGGTGTTTCTTTAGAAAGAGGAAGGGATACCAGGAGAGCGTCTGCACAGAGAAAAGGTCATGTGAGAACACAGCAAGAAGAGCGCCATCTGCAAGCCAAGAAGAGAGGCCTCACCAGAAACCAGCCCTGCCAGCGCCTTGACCCTGGACTTTCAGTCTCCAGAGCTGTGAGAAATAGATTTCTGTTGTTTCAGCCTCCCAGTCTGTGGTATTTTGTTACTGCAGCCTGCGCTAACCAGGACAAATGCCAAATGAGACCAGTAGGAAAACCATCCAATAGTATTTCAGTCAACACACAAAATTGTGAGAAATAATAAATTGTATCTGGAGACTACATTTTAGGGTGGTTGGTCACGTAGCAATTAATAACCAGAACATACTATGATGACCACCATCCCCCTTTTGCAAGTGAGGAAACTGAGGTACAAAGAGGTTAAAGTGACTTGCCCAAGGCCACACAGTTAGTAAGCAAAAGAGCTGGGACGTGAACCCTGCCAATGTGGCTCCAGGTACACAGTATGGTGCAGCCGATCACTTGTACTCCACAGACGAGGAAACCGAAATCCAGAGAAAGGAGGTGTCCTGCCCAGGGTCAATCTAAGGAATTAGCACTGACCTCTATTTCTAGTTGGGATTATTGCCTCCTTCAGTGGGTAAGCTGAGGCCACACTTGGCAAAGGTACCTGGTTCATAAGACAGAGATTTTTCCAAGCTGTGTGGCCTTGGACCAATTCCTTAAGCTATCTGAGTTTTTTGTTTGTTTGTTTTTTATTGGGAACAGTGTGTTTTTCCAGGACCCATCAGCTCCAAGTCAAGTAGTTGTTTCAATCTAGTTATGGAGGACGCATCTCAGTGGCCCATGTGGGGATTGAACCGGCACCCTTGGTGTTATGAGCACTGCAATCTAACCATCTGAGCTAACCAGCTGCCCCTAGTTGTCTGAGTTTTGATTCCCTTGACTAAAAGTCTCCTACACTGAGAGGTATGTGAAATAACACCGGCAGTGGGGTGCATACTAGACACTTAATCAAAAGCCTTTAACGGGGGAGAATTTAGTTTCCAGCTGGGGAAGTGCTGACTCTGACTGGGAGAGAACGTATGGGGAGGAAGTCAGTGGAGGGGACCCCCAGCTCCCCACTTCTATCCCAGTCCTCAGGCACCTGTATCCCTGGCCCGGGGTGGGTCCCGGGCTGGCAAGATTTCCTCCAGGCTCCGCTGGACAGCTTGTTCTTCAGGGAGCTCAGGTACCTCCTGCTGACCGTCCTGGGTCCGGACCCCAGGGCCTCCCCGACACTGGGACTCTCCCATGGTCCTGCAGGAGAGGGAGGCCTGCACCCAGGGCTGTGATGCGTGGCCTCCGGCACGTGGGCTCCAGGGACTTCTCCCGGTATCCTGAGAAGAAAGCAGACCTGAGAGTTTCCTGTCTGTAGAGTGGGGAGAAGAATAGCACCTCCCTGGTAGGGATTTTGGGGTGATTAATGCAAATCACAGGTGAGCAGTGGCCCCTGAGTGACTGGCCCTCAGGAGGAGCTTGCTAAGTAAAACTTCCACTTCCCTCCCAATATTTTTATGGAAGGAACTCCAGTTTTCAAAATGAGTCAGCATAAACTGTATCTCATTCTCTGGGGAACTACATACTTCCCTGTTTAGAATGCATCAACGAACCCCTCCTTCTGCCAACAGAGATATTTTAAGTGCCCCTCCATCACCCTCACCTGTGGACCTCACCCCTGTTTTTAGCCTCTGCAGCAGGAAAGGCCTTAAAACCTTAGTAACTGATACGCTGAGGGAAGATGAGAGCCATAGAACACTGTAAAGAGAGGGTAGAGCTACCCAAGCTGGGGCTTTTTTCAATGGGAGCTATGCCCTACACACCTCTGGGCAGGGAGAGCCAGCCTGGGAGCAGTTTTCCTGTGACACCAGAGGTGGATCTTTGTAGGGCAGCTTTGTTACTCTACCTACTGGGTCTGCAGGCCAGTGAAATTCTTTAGATACCAGAGGCAACCCTCACTGAACATGTCCAATGATTTGGTCTGTATCCCATTCCCTTTGGTGTGGAAACACTTGTGATGACAACACAGGTGGGTACCTTTATGAAAAAGACAGGCTGGGAAATGGACAACCAGCAAGGTACAAAATCCTCAACATTCTGTGAGAAAGGTTTTCATTGCTCCAATTTTGCAGCTAAGGAAACTGAGGTACAGACAGGATAAGTAACTGTCAGTTAGCGGGTAGCAGACGTGGGATTCAGGCCAAGCCGTCTGGCCCCTGAGCCTTTGCCCTAAACTGCCCCTCTCCATTTGAGTCAAGGAGACACAGGTCCAGAGAATCAGTGTGACCTGTCCCAAGTCACACGGCTGGTTCATGGCAGAGGGAGGATTGGGAACCAGTCCCTGACGGCCCCTCGTGGGTTCTTCCCCCCTTCTCTGGTACCCCAATGCCTGGTTCCTTAGCCAGCAGGTCTGCAGCTCATGGAAGTTGCTGGGCTTTGGGCTTTCTGTTCTACATGTGGTTTCAGCTTCTGCATTTTTCTCCAAATGCCCCAGGCCAGCTTCTGTTTCCTCTTCACCCCTCAGTTTCAGATTAATTAAAGTGCTGGAAGACCTCACCAGAAAGCTCAGGCCAAGGCAGCTGGCATGGGGCCCCTCACACAATAAAGGGTGAATTTGCCCTCCCGACAGGGCCTCCTCTGACCCCATTCTGGTCTGATGGCCACCCCCTCCTGCTAGGGGTTTAGGCCTGGGGAGAGCACACATTTCGATGGTCTCCCCTGGGCGTGTTTAGCATGCTGAGTTGGGTGGTGCCTTCTTCCCACAGCCATGAAGGTGGCTGGTGGACCAGGAAGGTGGCTCCTAGAGCTGTCCTCGGTGCTGAACAGAATGTGCTTGGCGAAGGATACTGGGAGAGGCAGGGCAAGGTTACCTGGCTCAGGAAATTGAACTGCCCTTCTAGGTCCACATCTATGCCACTTCTGCCAGGAAGCCCACAGGAGGCTTTGTCTGCTCTGAGTGCCCTCAGCACAGAGTCTAGGCCCCTCCCAGGGTATCTATTGTCCATGAGCTGGCATCATGGTAATTCCATGAGCTTAGCATCCAAAGACAGAAATCTTCCAGACAGGGATCATTTTTTAGGCTCCTGTGTCTGCTACAGTTCCTGTGTGATGCTGTGCTGTGCCACCCACACCCACTCAGGACTGAGGCACTTTCCCCAGCTCCTGGTAATATAGCAGCTAACAGGTTATTGACTGAATTCCTCTCTGGGAATTGCCCTCCCTGGAAGAGAGCTGTCTCACCCAAGGTGAGGTCCACATCCAATGACTAGTCCAGGTGTCGGCAAACTGCGGCTCAAGAGCCACATGCAGCTCTTTGGGTACGTTCCATCTCAAAAGTTTGCCGACCCCTGGAAGAGCCAATCCTGTCCCTCACAACAATTTAAAAATTATTCGAGAGCCATCAATATATTTTTACATAATCACCATTATGTGAATAATATCCTGTAAATTTTTTATGAATGAAACTATGATAGTTTTATTTTCAATTTTACTTCTGAGCCACAGTTCGCGAGCCGCAGTTTGTTAACCCTTGGCGGCTCTTCCGTCTCAAAAGTTTGCCGACCCCTGGACTAGTCCATGTACAAAGACCTAGCCTTTTGCCTCAACTGGAACAACTTGAGCTCCCTGGGACAGGCTGGGGCCTCTGTTGCAAGTGTTTGGCAGTTCAACTTCTCCCTCTGCCCTATGCTGCATCCCTCACCCCCATAAGCAGTGTTCCCAAAACCCCACCCAGCAAATCTCCCAAAGTAAACCTCTATCTCAGAGTCTATTTCCAGAGAACCCTACCTACGACTGTGCCTAACATGCCTGCAAAGTGGATTGTTGTCACACACACACACACACACACACACCCCTGCCAGAGCCACCAATGACTTCCACACATCTGGCCCAGCCTTGTCCCTTCAGACAGAAGCCCCTGCATTGCCTCTTTCCCATGAACTTAAAGCACTTAAAGTCTCCCCACCTCTCTGTTCTTTATTTTCTCATCTATAAGATGGGAATAAAAATAGAACCTACCCCCTGTTAGGCTGTTAGATGATTCCATGAAATCAGTAACAAAACCCACAGGGAGGCTGATCATACACCCTGATTTACCTGATACAGTCTCAGCTTTTCCTGTTGTTCCCCCCCCCACCCCCCCTCACCCTCCCGCCAAAAAAATTGAATGGCATTCACTTCCCGTGTCAATTGTATCCTGGTTGGGATGATAAATTATATGGTTATCCTATGCATAAGGAGTAAGTGCTTGGTAAGTATTATAATAGCTATTATTTCTGCTGGCGGGGCAATGGGTGGAGTTCTGCAGCCCAAACACTGCATTTGGTTCACCCACTCTCACTCATAATTACACACATGTCTGGGCTCTCCCCAACACATCAACACACACACTCTCACCTCTGCTCAGCTCCTGGTGCCCCGACAACATTCTCCCACTCTCTGAGGAACCCCTGACCGAGGGATGTGGGCACTGCCTAGATAGGAAGAGGTGTCTAAGACAGGGCCCAGAAAGAGAACTGCTCACTTGTGGGGGCCCAAGGTGGCCCCGGTCCTGTTCCTCAGCCTGGAGACTAGGAGGACCTGTGATGCCCAAGGGCCCAGAGATGGGCAGAGGAGTTGGAGGGAGGCTGCCAGTCAGCCAAGGTGACCCTCCCCACCCCCACCACCTCATACCTGCTGTTCTCAAACACAGTCACCAGATTGGACACAGAGGCCAGCTTCTCCTTACTTGCCCCCTCCATCCTCCAGGTCTCCAGGGTCCCTGAGGCAGGGAGAGGGGCCTCCAGCCAGCACACTCAGCCACCCCCAATTGGGATCACAGGTGGGTGAGGCATCGGGAATCTGCTCCTGTCTTTCCCAAGGGCTCAGCAGGCCTGCTCCTGGCTTCAGAGTGAAGAAGGAGGAAGTGGTCCCAGAGCCTCAGCCCTAAAGGGAAAGGCCGGTCCTCCCCGCAGAGGGAGGGGCCCCTCAGGCGCCACCCCTCCCTCACAAGGGCTGACCTTTCACTCCTGCAAACCCCCGCTTACAGAAGCCACAACAGAGGGACAGTGGGGCTGAGAGGTAGTTTCTCACGTTGGGCCCTTGGCTGGCCTCTTGGCCTGAGCATCTCCCGCTAACTACACTTTCTCTCAAAGTCCAACGGATTTTACTGGTCCTTTCGCAACAACTTCTTTTCCAAATATGACCCTGTTCACTGCTGTAAGGAAACAAATTTTCTTTTTTCTTTTTTTTTAATTAAAAAAAATCACAAAACTGCTAAGGGCTTGCAGGGAGGAGTATGTGTTCTTACCCTCTCACTGGGGTTCTCTTATTTTAATGGCTGCTGTCTCCACCTTGTTGCCCCAGGGGACAGCAGCTTCCTTTCTGAAACTCTGATGATAATAATAGCTAATACATAACAACTCTTTTTAGTGCTCTACAAGTATTTTCTTATATATTTAATTCCACAACTGCCTATGAGGTGGATCCTATTACTATCCTGATTTTACAGCAGAAAAAACTGAGGATCAGAGAGGTTAAGTAACTTACCCAAAGACACCCAGTAAGACACACAAAAGAAGTCATATTTCCAAAGCAGAGATGAATGTCCTACAATTCTAGCAAAGATTTGGTTGGGAGCCTGGATGACCATGTTCTCATGGCTCCATCCTCAGGCCTCCCTGCTCCTGGCATGTTGATGTCTCTGCCTGATGCCTCCTCTATCACCGGTCTCCCAGCCCTTCCAGGACAAATGGTCACTGCCTCTGCTCCCTTATTCAAGCCTCACAGGCCCTTCAGGGCTTTCCCACTTGGTTCTGGTCTCCCTTGTCCTGAGCCAGGGCCCTCCATTGAGACTGGTGTTTGTCCTGCAGTGTAGGGACTTAGTACCCAAAGTGCCTAGCACAGCTTCACACTCCAGCGCCTGTGAACCATGAGGGCCTCACATGCCAACAGCCTCGCTCTCTCAGAGCTTCATCTGAGCAATTTTTTCCAGCAGGTGCCTGGCTCCTGCCCCCAACCCTAAATTTCACTAACTCTCCTCGCTTTCTGTTTTTATTATGGAAAATTTAGAACATATGCGTATATAAAAGTAGGCAGAGGGCCGGCCAAGTGGCTCAGTTGGTTAAGAGCTCGCTCAAGAGTGCGAGCTCTGAGCAACAGGGTTGCCGGTTCAATTCCCAGCCCAAGCTGAGTTGCCGTTGAGCTGCCAACAGGTGGCAGGATAGCGCAGCTAAAAAAAACAAAAACAAAACCAAGCGAACAAAAAGTAGGCAGAATAATGTAATGCATCCCATGAACCCATAACCCAGACCCAACAACAATCATCTCATGGCCATCCCTGCTTCATCTGCGCCATATTCACTCCCCCTTCCCATATCATTTGAAGCAAATCCCAAACATCAGATGATTTCACCCATAAATATTTCCATGTGTGTCTGGAAGATAAGGGTACACACACACACACACACACACACACACACACACACACACGCATACATATAATGGTAATATTATTCTATGTATGCATGCACACATATATACATGTATTTTATGTTATACACAGTTGACCTTTGAACAGTGTGGGTTTGAACTGTGCTATTCCACTTATACATGGATTTTTTTTCAATTGACCTGAGCAGTTCAATTGACCCATGCAGGCCAAACCCGCTTTGTTCAAAGTTCAACTGTATATTCGATCGGTGGTTGGTATTCATGTATGTGGAGGACTGACTCAAGTTATATGCAAATTTTCGACTACTTGGGAGGCCGGCACCCCCTCACCTTCATATTGTTCAAGGGTCAACTGTACATGTGTATGTAAATATAGGAAACAATATTACCATTATCATACCCCAAGAGATCTTTAGCAACCGTTCCTCAATATAATAGAAAATCCAGTCAACATTCAAAATGCCACTTCCTCAATGTGCAATGGACTGAATTGTGTTTCCCCCAAATTCGTATATTGAAGCCCTAACCCTCAATGTGACTGTATTTGGACATAGGGAGTTTGGGAGGTAATTAAGGTTAAATTAGGACATAACAATGGGTTCCTTATCTGATAGGCCAGGTGGCCTTATAAGAAGAGGAAGTGATCTCTCTTCACATTCCCCTCACACCCCCAATATCACATGGCTCCAAGGAGAGGCCTTGTGCAGGCCAGGAGAGAGTTCCCCCCAGAAACGGAACCCTGCCACATCTTGACCTGGGACTTCAAGCCTCCAGAACTGTGAGAAATAAATTCTGCTATTTTTTTTAAAGATTTTATTGGGAAATTGGGGAGGGGAACAGTGTTGGGGAATTGGGGAAGGAGAACATTGTGTTTTTCCAGGACCCATCAGCTCCAAGTCAAGTTGTTGTCCCTCAGTCTTAGTTGAGGAGAGCGCAGCTCAGCCCCAAGTCCAGTCAGCATTTTCAGTCTAGTTGCGGGGGGGGGTGCAGCCCACCATCCCATGTGAGAATCGAACCGGCAACCCTGTTGTTCAGAGCTCTTGCTCCAACCAACTGCACCACCCCTGGCCCAATTCTGCTATTTTTAAGCTTTCCAGTGTGTGGTCTTTTGTTATGGCAAGTAATTCATCATCTATTTCAAATAATCAGGATCCAAATAAGGTCCACATGTCACAATGAGCTGCCCTGTCTATTAGCTCTCTTTTCATCCATAGATTCACCTCGCTCTTTTTGTTTGCCTGCACAGCATAGCAGACAGGATACAGGTCCCACAGTCGGGACGACAGCAGCACCGGCCCCTGGATTTCCTGTTCATTATGGTTAGATCTAGGGGCTTGACCAGACTCATCCTTAAATGCCACTTCTCCCCGGACGTCCTCCCGGGTTGGGGAGGTTTCCTTCCTTGGTGCTCCTCTTCCTTCAACTGCAGGGCCCGCTTTCCTCCTCTGTCTCCAGCAGATGGTACGTTGGCTCCCTGAAGGCAGGGCCCGGGCGCACACGCTTCCTGGCTGGTCCACAGCCCAGCCCAGTGTCTCAAGCCCATTCAGTAGGGCCTGAGAAGGCAAGTGGAACAGACACATGTCACACCTTGAGCCCAGAGGCTTATCTCATACCTTAGCAGCAAGTGCCTGAGCTTCCAGAACAGAATCTGGAACAGAGCTTCCCAAACAGCTGGACCTGCTTCTCACACAGAGGCGGGAGAGTGGGGAGAGGCACCTGCAGGAGGCCACCTAGCAGCCCAGCTCTGGACATGACACAGGCACCATCAGCGCTGCATCTGCCCAGGGAGAAGGGTCAAGATGCCCACACCCCCTAACAATCTTCCAGGGCCCTGCCTCCTCGTGCCCCCACATTCCTGGCCTTGGCCCCTTAGAGCTCTGCCAGCCTTCCTGCCTGACTTGCATCTCACCTGCAAGCATCACTTGAGGCTCAGCCCAGGCCAGACTCCTGGCCTCCTCCTTCACATACACCCCGCACTACCCAATTCAGAATCTATCCCAGGGTTCCTGCCCTCCTACCCCAGCCTGAGCATGCCCAACACCTTCAGGACATGGCCAAGGGCATGTCCCACCTCCGCTTCCAACTCAACACGCAGTCTCTATCTAAAATCAGAACCATTATCCCACAGGAGGATTCCCAAATGCCCTGGTGAGCTGTCTGACCCTCTGGGTCTGGCTCTGATCAACCTTCCCAGCCATCTCTTCCTCAACCTCAGGTCTGGGTTGTGACCTTGAGGGTCTCTGTCAGCTGAGCTAAGCTGAACGACAGCTCCAGGCACCCCTTTCCTGCGACTTGGCCATGGTCGCAGGAGTGGGCGCAGCAGTCGTGTCCACTCCTGAGGCAGGTGCAGCGCTGTTGCACCTCACACCTGTTGATGCAGGTCTCTGGGCTCTCCACCCACCTTCTTCTTTGGCTTGTCTAGCTCCTGGGCCAGGTGTGTGTTCAGCTACAGGACAAAGGGTACCGACTTCTGCTGCAGGTCACCTGTGTCATTGAAGTTGATGGCTTGAAGGTGACAGCCTGTTCCTCCTCCTGAGTCCCAGGCTTCCTCGCTGGTTCATTCAGTTCACTTTTGCTTCCTTCATTTCACATCCATTCTCCCTACCCCACTGCCTACCCTGATGATTTTTGTCTCAGAAGCATCAATTTTTAAAGTAGCTTCTCCATTGTATAAGGTCAAACCCCATATTCTATCTCACCCCTAGTTGTTATGCTTCTCTCATCAAATCTGACATATACGAAAAACAGTCATGGGGATGTAAAGTACAGCAAAGGGAACACAGTCAGTAATATTATAATAACTGTATGGCATCAGATGGGTACTAGGCTTATCGGGGGGATCGCTTCATAAGTTATATAAACGCCTAACCACTATGTTGTACACTGGAAACTAATATAATATTGCATGTCAACTGTTATTGAAAACAATTTATATATTTTTTTAAATCGGACCTATTCGCCTTGGGCCAGTAACTGAACTGAACTTTCCTCGTCTGTGAAGTGGGGATAATTACAGTGCAACCTGTAATTAGTGTTTTGAAGATTAACTGGGATAATAACATGCGTAAGGGCTTAGAGTAAGGCCTGGTACAGACTAGGTGCTCAGTGAATGTTGGCTACAGACATTTTTCTTCCTGACAGATGACCTTTCTTATAGCTGCCCCCCCCCCTTGACCAATCAGCTATTTTGCCTGGAATGTCTGTACCCTGTCAACAGCCTGTTCACTTCCTCCAGGAAGCCTTCCATGATAGCCACTGCTGGAAACTCCTTTCCCTCCTCAGAGACCTGGTGTTCCTCTCTGTTTATTTGCATCTCTTCTGCCCCATTCATTACGACATGCATTCAGTTGACAAGCATTCTTGAGCACCTACTATGTGGCAGCACTATGGTAGAAACTATGGATTAAACACAGTCCCCTGCCCCTTAGCTCACAATGTAATGAGGAAGGTGGGCCTGTTAACTACTAAAATATCATGTGGGAAATGCTTTGAGCAAGGGAGTTATGAACACAAAGAAGGGGCATAGACATCTGCAGAGAACAGAGAGTGCTATGAAGGAAGCCTTCCCGGCAGAGGCAACCTGAATAATGAAGGATAAATTAACGCTCCAGGTGGACAACGTAAGAAAAGGCATTCAAAGCAGAAGGAACAGCATATGCAAA